AGAGAGAGAAAGAAAGAAAGAAAGAAAGAAAGAAAGAAAGAAAGGAAGGAAGGAAGGAAGGAAAAAAGTTTTTGAAAATGCTGTCATTAAGGCAGACATATATAGTCAAAAGTTTTAACTTGTTAAAACTGAAGTACACAGTAAATTTCAGAACAATGTTTCTGTTTCCTTAAGGGTAAAAAGTTCCTATACGCTGGCTCCACCCAGAGAATTTCCTGACTAGAAGGCTTTGGGGGATACAAGTGCTCTTACAGTTCAGCAGAAGCATTACAGCTCAAAGAGCTCCCTTGCACAGACCTTGAGCTCTAGTCAATTCCTGTAAAAAATGAAGGAGAGCCGGGCTGGGAAGAAACCCAGAGGAAAAGAGCTGTTAGAGGCAGAGGGGACAGTGCATCTGTGTAGGGGAGGAATGTGACCTGAGGAGGGAGTATTGTCTTAACATCACCAGTGATTGCGTGGCCTAGGTGGGAGTGATAGGGGGTAGAGGACATAGGAGATTAAGGAGCACGGTGCCCCTGACTCCCACACTTCACAGGATGAACTCTTCTTTATAGCGCACCTGCCATAGCTGTCTGTCAGGCAGACACAGAGCACTGCTGAGAACCTGCAGGAGAAGGTCTGTGCCCTCAGGGAAGGCTTTTCAGAGCTGGAAGGAGCTTACAGGTCCTCCATCTAAGTCCCTCTTTGAGTTGAAAGAATCCCAGGAAGTCTTGACTCTCCTGGTTATTTGGGTCACTCACAACCCAGGAAAGCTAGAATTCGGTGTACTGATTCCTCCGCATCCCTGGCAGTGTGACCTGGGGGATGGAGGAGGGCGGCTGGGAAGGACAGGTGCTCTGAGAGAGCAGCACGACCTGAGGTGTGTCTGCATTGCTCTGGGTCCCTCGTTTGTTTTCGGTCCTTGGTTTTCCTCCACAGCAATGGCCTTGCCTAGCAAGCCTCTCAGACCTGAGTGGCGGCCACACTCGGCCCTATGAGAGACCTTTACAGAACTGGCCTGGTGGAGCCCGGGACGACCCTGCCTGGGTTTGTACTTTCATATTTCCCGATAGAAAGTAGTGAGTGTGACGGAAATCCAGGTCTCAGGGATGCTCTAGGCCCCATCTAGATCTGTTACGTCCTGAAACATACTCTGCATCCACTTTTCAGTCTCTCCTTTAGCTTCGGGTCCTCTGGGTCTTCCAGGAAACACCTGGGTAAGTTTTTCTTCTAATATTTTATTTTTCATTTTTATGTTATATGTATGAGTTTATTGTCTGCCTTTGTGAAAGTGTACCCACACGGTACAATGCTAGTGGAGGTCAGAGGATGGTGTTGGATCCCCTGGAACTGGAGTTACAGGCAGTTGTTAGCATCCACGTGGGTGCTGGGAATTGATTCAAGGTCTTCTGTAAGAGCAGTTAGTGCTCTTAACCACTGAGCATCTCTCCAGCCCCTTTGGGTATGCGTTCAATTGGTTTCTTTAAAAAACCAAGTTTGGTGGATGCACTCAGGGGACTCGCTGTTTCGTAGACACAACGCCCTTTAAGTACACAGTGTGCTTTGACCTTGTTTTCTCTAGTCCCGTTCTTCCTCGTTTTCCTCCTTCCTCTGCTCCCTCCCATGGCACCTGTCCTTCCCCATCTTCCTTCTGCTTTCATGGGAGACAGATTTTATTTTACTTTTTGAGACAGGGTCTTATGTAGCCCAGGCTGAACTCTAACTTGCTTTGTTGCCAAGGATGACCTTGAGATTTGATCCTTATACATCCACCCCCTGGGTGCTGGAGTTACAAGTGTGTGTCCATATGCTCTGCTGCAGTGCTGAGGACAGAGCCCAGGCTTCATGGATCTATACAGGGATATCACCCACACCCTCTGCCCTCATAGATGCACAATCTTCCCTGCTGCCAAATAGCCCACCACCTCTGCTAGTCATGCACCGCACTTACAGAGCTACGTCCCCAGCTCTGAGATGATGATTTGAATGTCTCTTGCCCTTGACTCATGAGAATGCAATAGACACAAACATTCAACTAATTGACGAGTGAAACTTCCCAGGGATTCCTCCTTTTACTCAGCACTGTCTACACCACACACAGGATAATTGTGTTTTTTTTTTTTTTATTGCAGAAAACCTAAAACTTGCTCAAAGGTTAGAAGGAGCATTATAAGGAACTTTAACATGACTTTGCAAACCTTCCACAGTCATCAGTGCATGCCAGCCCTGTTTCATTTATCCAATGCCACCTCCCTAGCACCCCCAGATTAGTCTGAAGAAACAGGTTTCATTTCATCAGAAAGTATTAGAGTATGTGACGCTCAAAGATGAAGACCATTAAAAGTATATCCATAATTTCAAGATATAGTGACAAAAATCAAATGTGATTCCTACTACATAGATATGTACAAACATACACACATTCACATAGGAATACAAACTACATGTACAACATACACATGTGCACTACATATACATGTAAATATATACATACACAAATATACACATGGGGGCAAAACAGAGGCACATACACATGTGGAGAGGTACACATACTTCACAGACATTCACACACATATACAGACTACACACAGACATACTTATATCTACATACATGGTTATAAATACACATATATGAGAGAACAGGACACTAAAAATAGCTTAAGGATGTTTTGAAGGTTTTATTTGTTTGTTGTCTGTTTCTGTCCTTAGGATTTGTTCTCCAAGGCCTGAAATGAAATGTTGACATTTTTCAGGATTCGTGGATCGACTCAGGTTCATTTGTTTAATTTGCTATTGAGTTTATGGAGTTTCAATATGGTTTTCATTGTGTAATTATGAAAATGATTCTAAATAACATCTGGCTCAAATCTACAACGCAGGCTGGTGAGCAGATTCTAGTTTCCTGCTGTCTTCCTGTCTTCATCTGGTTTCTCCCACTCTGGTGCAGATAATGTGTGGATGTGCTTTGGTTCAGGTGATCTTGCTAGTGCCTCTCACATACATTTCATATGCCCCTTCTTATAAGAGTGGTAGTAAATAAACATTATTTTCTCCAGCTGCCTGTATTTTGGTGGGGGTTTGTGGGCTTTTTTTGACATTGTGTCCCTAGTCCATCCCACTTAGAACTCACTAAGTGGATAAGGCTGACCTCTATCTCACAGAGATCCACCTGCCTTTGCCTCCTGAGGCCTGTGATTAAAGGCACTCACTACCATACCTGGTTAGTTTGCCTTTTTAAAAAAATAAAAAGTGGAATGTGGACTGCTACTCTTTTTGAAATTTTATTTGTATGTGTGTGTATGTGTATGTGTGTGTATATATATATATATATATAATGTGGTGTGTGTGTGTGTGTGTGTGTGTGTCTGTTGGAAGGCATGCATAGCATGGTATAGAGGTCAGAGGACAACTTGTGAGATTCTTTCCACCATGTGGGTTCTGAGAATTAAACTCAGATCACTGCCTACAAGTTCTAAAACCTTCCAGACTGTTCCATCAGCAGGGAGAAATGAACCCAGGGGTGATAGTGACATTGAATCCACAACACATAGTGCATTATATAGAAGCATCTGATCATTTAAGGTTTTTTTGTTTTGATATTCACTAATAAAACCCATTAACCTTTTTTTTATTGGTGAAAGTCACTATTATCTTTTGGAATTAATATTATACTTGCTTCCTAGAGTTTGAATTTCTCATTTTGTTTTCTGATTAATATATAATGACTGATATGGATTTGGGATGTTTCAAAAGCTGTATTAAAACAGGCACTAGTCAAATCAGGGGAAGCATCATTTCCACTTTCTTACTGTTTCTTTACTTTTGCCGTCTCTGAAATCCTCTCTTGGTTCTCCATCTGTATATAGTAGGTTATTGGGAACTGGTCATCTCAGTATGCTGCAGAGCATTCATTTATTCCTCTATGTGTGTGAATTTTCCCCCTTACTATTTCTTTGGAGAGAACATCGTACACTAACCCACACTAGCCTCAAACTGCAGGTGATCTTCCTGTCTCAGCCTCCTGAGGCCTTTTCTTTTGTTTGCATTGATTTTCTGCTGAATTTAATCTGGCCTTAAGTTTTTGTTTCTTGAACTTCTCCTGTGATATATTTTTCTTCCGAGTCTCTGTAGTCGTATTTGCATATTTAGCACCATTGTTATCTGTGACTTTTAAAAGATAGGCTTATGGTAAAAGAAAACAACAACAAAAAAAAAACCCAACAACAACAACAAAAAACCTTTTTGGTAAAGATGTGTTTTGTGGTGTCAGCTTGACAGGCAATTTTGGCTGTGGCTACAGTCAGACACTGCAGCATAGATTTCCCATAGTTTCTTTGGCTGTGGCTACAGTCAGACACTGCAGCATAGATTTCCCACAGTTTCTTTGGCAGCTGGTACATGGATCTGAGATTGCAGCTCATCAATTCTGGTCTGGTTTTCAGGCACATGGCAGGGCAGAGATTAGGTACACTGAGTCTCAGGTCTGGCACTAGGCATGGCCCAGGAGCACAGGCCAGTTGTTCCAGAATCGGCATGTAGGTGGCAGCAGAGGCAGGAACACACTTTATATGTCATCAGGAACAATTAAGAAGTATTGAAACTGCCAGAGCTCTAAAAGCATATTGGGGCTGACGAGATGGCTCAACAGGTATATGCCCTCATTTCCCAAGCGTGACAACCCAAGTCCAATCCGCAGAACCCATGTGACACGGAAGGACAGAGCCACCACCACTAAGTAGTTTGCCTCTGACTTCCACACACTGTGGCTCAGAACTGCCACTGGAACGTCCCTGTTTACTAACACCAGCGTACCTTCATGAGGAAACTGATTTCTCCTGTGGTGGTGTGTCGTGTTTCTGTCTCCAGTGGAATGTATGAAGACAATAGTGTATTAGAAAATTCCAGGGAGGAAAAGAAAAAGGAAGGATTTGGGGGGATTCCCATGTATCTAACGCCATCTTCTCTCCTCCTTTTCCCTAAGATCTGCGCGGTCCTGATCCCGGCCCTTCCCTGACATAAACATGGCTGGCTGTGAAAACGCTGCTCTGAGGATCGTTCTGGTAGGAAAGACAGGAAGTGGAGAGTGCCACGGCCAACACCATCCTCGGGGAAAAGATATTTGCTTCAAAGATTTCCATCCAAGCTGTTCCCAAGACCTGTCAGAGAGCATCCCGGACATGGAAGTGGAGAAAACTTGTAGTTGACACTCCTGAGCTCTTTGACACTAAGGAGACCTTGGACACCACATGTAGAGAAATCAGCCGCTGTGTCCTCTCCTCCTGCCCTGGGCCTCACGCCATCATCCTGGTTCTGCAGCTGGGCCGCTACACAGAGGAAGAGCCAAAGACTGTTGATTTGATCAAGTGTCTCTTTGGGGAGGCAGCCATGAAGTGCGTGATTGTCCTGTTCACTCGCAAAGATGAACTTAAGGACAAGAGCCTTGATGACTTTTTAGAAGAAGCAGACATAGAGCTGAGCAGCCTCATCCAGGAGTGTGGGAGCCGCTGCCTGGCCTTTAACAACAGAGCAGGGGAGGCTGAGAAGGAAGATCAAGTGCAGGAGCTGGTGCAGCTGATAGAGAGAATGGTGCAGGGCAACGGAGGGACTTACTTTTCTGATGACATATACAAGGATGCGGAGGGAAGGGTGAGCCGATGTCTAAGAGATTTGGAGAAAGAATACACGGATCAATTCAATGAGGATATCAGAAGAATAAAACAGGAATATTCATATGAATTTAAAGAAAAACAGAGAAAAGTAAAAGAAATTCAGAGAGTCTATGATGAAAAAATGAGAACTACAAGGGACAGAGTGAGGAGATGCGTTTAAACATATCAACGTATTTAACATATTTGGAAAGAATTTCAAACTTTTGGAACATGGGGTCATGATGCAAATTGCATTGGTTTTTTATTAGTTACATTTGTTCTCTGACAATTTCATACATCTACACAATACATTCTGATTACATACATTTTGACGTTTGTTTCATTCTGGTCTGTGATCGACTTAGTTTAACCAGGACCCTTTGGGTGACAATGGCTTTGGAACTCCTATCACACCCTCCTGAGCTCACCAGGGGGTACACGGCTGAACACAATGACTCTCCCTCTCCCAGAATCCATCAGTAACCTCTAGCTCAGCAGAGTGGAGCAGGTCCCATGAGCCCCTCCCACAGAATGGCAGGAGGTCATTGTCACGTATTCATCCAACAGACGGTTGAGGTCTAGAGCATACAAAGAACTAAAAACAACTAGACACCAAGAAATTAGCAACCCTATTAACAGCGGGCTCTGGATTTGAGCAGAAATTCAACAAAAACCTGCAAACAGCTAGGAAACATTTGAAAGTGTTCCACACCACTATCCAATCACAGACATGCAAACCACAAGTACATTAACATCCTACATCCTCCCAGTCAGACTGGCCATTGTGATGCTTCGTTTCTGCCAACCTGACACAAACTAGAGCCACCTGGGAAGATGGAACCTCACCTGAGGAGTTTCCTTCTTCAGACTGGGCTGTGGCCATGACTGAGGGCATTTTCCTGATTGCTAACTGATGTAGGAGGCCCAGGCACTGTGGACACTGCCATCCCCGGGCAGGTGGGCCTGGGCTGGATGAGGAAAGTGCTGAGCGCTCCAGGGGAAGCAAACTAGTAAGCAGCGCTCCTCCATGGCCTCTGTTTAGTGTCACCTCCAGGTTTCTGCCTTGAATTCCTGCCTGACTCTTGTGATGTGATGAACTCTTGCCTTGGAAGTGCAAGATGAAATCAATGCTTTCATCTCCAAGTTGCATTTTAGTCACAATGTTTACCACAAAATGGGAAACAAATTAAAACAGCCATCATCAGGATTAGAAATATCAATAAATGCCAGTATTGATGTGGGCAAAGGGAATCTACACTGTTGGTAGCAGTTTTAACTAGTTTTAAACTAGCTTTAACTAGCTTGTTCCCAGAGCTTTGCTGGCTGCAGCATCCACTTTGGTAATCAGTCTGGAGTTTCCTCAGAAACCTAGAAAGAGAACTACTATACGATCCAGGACACCACTCCTGGGCATATACCCATCAGACTTTCTATCCAACCACAGAGACCCTGGCACATGCATGTTTGTTGCTGCTCCATTCACAATAGCCAAGAAATGTAGTCAACCTAGATGTCCATCGACAAATGGATCAGGTTTAAAAGGTGGCACATTCACATGGAATATCATTCAATGGTAAAGAACAATGACATCATAAGATGCAGAGGTAAGTGGACGGAACTGGTAAAAACTACACTCGGTGAGGTAACAGGGCCAAGAAAGACAAACACCAAATGTTCTTTGTCACGTAAGGATCCTAGATTCAGATCTTTTGTGTATCTAACTTGGAGCACAAATGGAAGCCAGAAAAATAGAAAAGGGCTTTGGAGGAGGACACATTTAGGGAGGAGGGATAATGGGTCATAGGTAGAGGACGTGAGTGACGTGGAACACTGGGAGTAGAGAGTCTTAAGCAGGGAGTAATGGGGCAAAGGAGGCGGTTACTGAGTGCAGTGGGGCAGATAACCCAAAGGAGGTGGGTTTGAAAAGCCAATGGAAGCCTACTATCCACAACTCAATATGAAAGGGGGGCCTTGTGTTTTCTGCCTTAATGTCAGCACACCTGCCTCTGAAGAGTTGCTCCAGAGCTTGTTCCCAGAGCCTTGCTGGCTGCAGCATGCACAGAGTGGGAGCCCACCAGAGCTGTACCTGGGCAGTTGATGAGCATTATGTGGTACATGGGAGATGAAACACGTGCACTCATGTTTGTGTCTTCTATTATGTTCCATTTGTCTGCATGTCAGTTTTTGTGCAAGTACCATGCTGTTTTTATGACTATAGTTCTATAATATAGTTTGAGATCTGGTAAGGTAATCCCCAAGCAATTCTCTTTTTTTGCTCAAGATTTCTTGGACATCTGGCATCTTTTGTGATTCCATATGAATTTCAAGATTTTTTTTCTAGAACACCAAACAATGTTATGGCGATTTTGATTGGGATTGCATTGAATCTATAGATTGCTTTTGGTAGGATGATCATTTTCACAATATTAATTTTACCAATCCATGAGCTCAGGAGGTCTTTCCATCTCCTGGTGTCTTCCTAAATCTCTTTCTTCAAAGATTTTAAGTATATATTGTCGGGATCGTTAGTGTCTTTGGTGAGGTTTATTCATAGGTATTTTTGAGGCTCTTGTGAATGGAGGGTTTCCATGAACACTTTCTCAGATTGCTTGTTACTGGTATATAGAAAAAGCTACTGATTTTTGTGGGTTTATTTTTTAACCTGCCACTGTGCTGAGCGTATTGATCATTTCTAGCAGTTTTCTGGTGGAATTTTAGGGATCTCTTGTGTATAATATCATATCATCTGCAAATGGGGATAACCTGACCCCTGATTTCCCAGTTAGTACTCTCAGTTTCCTTCTCTTGTCTTATTACCCTAGCAAACATTTCAGGGACCATATTGAAAAAGAGTGGAGATAGAGGACAGCCTTCTCTGGCTCCTCATTTTAATGGAAAAGCTCCCAATTTTCCTCCATTGTAGCTTATCCACCTCCCAGTTCACAAGCTGGGAAAAAAGTGCTCATTCGCATGAACCTGGGGGGATATTGCACATTCAACCCATAAAACATAGGGCATTTTATACAAGCCCTGATAATTCATTTAGGATTTTTTTGGTTTGACAGTCGCTAATAAGACACATTCACTTTTATTATTGGTGAAATCATCACCAGCTTTTAGAATCAATTTTATGCTTGGTTCCTAGAATTTAAATTTATCTTTTTTCCCAATTGATAGGGAATAATTGCATTTTCTGTTTCTCTTTGGACATATTTGCATATCTAGCAGCAGTTGTTTCTATGACTGAAATGATGTGTTTATCATAAAAGGCTTTTCCATAAAGATGTGTTTCACGGTGTCAGTCTGGCAGGCCGGTTTCCTCTGGTTCTGTCTGACACTGCAGCGCACATTTCCTATAGTTTCTTTGCCATAGCAGTTGCTGTGTAGATCTAGAAATGCATCTCTTCAGTTCCAACTGGGCTTTCAGGCACATGACAGGGCTCTGGGTACACTCAGCCTCAGGTCTGGCACTAGGCAGGGCCCAGGAGCAGTGAAGACTTGTTCTAGGATTGGCATTCAGGCTGGTAGCAGGGCCAGAGACATGCTTTAGATGTGCTCAGGAACAGTTTAAGAAGTGTTGAGATTACCAGAGTTTATTTTATTTTGAGAGATTTTTTTAACTTTTTAGTTAAAATTATTTCAAACTTTAAAACTGCAAAAAATTAGAACTTACATATTTTTATGAACTTATTTTAGTGTATATTTTAATTAATTTTTTCTGCTTTTTATATAAAACATCTTGATCATCTTTATACCTCTTCCCCCCCTGCCCCCGCTCACCCCTACAGGCCACCCCCACCAGATTTCATGCATTCTATCATATATGTTAGGGCTTATCTAGTTAAGTTTCTGTACCCAGACATCCCTGAGTGCAGGTTCATCCACTGGGATCTAGTCAGCTTACCTAGAGTCTCTTCCTTAAAGAAGATCAGCTCTCCCTCACCCAGCAGTAATCAGCTGCTAATAGTTCTTCAGCTAAGGTCGGGGCTGCTGCCATATCCCCAGTTCTATGCAGGGTTTTTGTCTACTTGAGTTTGCATGTGTCTTGTGTGTACCGACACCATTGCTATAAGTTCATACGAGCAAGGTCCCAGAAGCCTGTGAGTGTCTATTTCCTTACGGGCATGCACCTCCTCCCCTGGCTCTTACAGTCTTTCTGCCCCCTCTTCTGCAATGGTCCCTGAGCCCTGTGTGGGTGAAGTTTAATATCGGAGTCCTGTCCAGGGACCCACACTCTACAGACTCTTGTTCTCTACACTTTGGCCAGTTGTGGCCCTTTATGTTCACAGACCCCTGCTGCTTGAGGAAGCTTTGCTTAGAGATTGTCAGTGTTCTAAAAGTATAACAGGGCTGACGAGATGGCTCAACAGGTAAAGGCTTTTGTTTCTCAAGCCTGACAAGTTGAGTTTAATCCCCGGACACATGTAAAAGTGGAAGGAGAGAATCAGCTCCATAAAGTTATCCTCTTGTTTCCACACAAACACTGTAGGTTGGACCTGTCACTGGAACTTTCCTGATAAATTATACAGACCAGCATTCTTTTGTGAGGAAACTGATTTTTCCATTTCTTCCAAGGTTGTATGTTATCTTTCTGTCTCTATCTGTCTCTAGTGGAATGCTTGAAGACATTAGAATATCAGAAAATATCATGGAGGAAATGGTAAAGGGAAGGATTTGGAATGGATTCCATTTGTCTAACTGCATTTTCCTCCCCTTCCTTTCCTTAAAATCTACATATATCTGAACTTGGGCCTTGCCTGACATAAACATGGCTGGCTGTGAACACCCTGCTCTGAGGATTGTTCTGGTAGGAAAGACAGGAAGTGGAAAGAGTACCACAGGAAATTCCATCCTTGGGGGGATTATTATCCAAAGTTTTCTGCCCAATTTGTTACCAAGACCTGCCAGACAGCACCTTGGAAGTGGAAGAGGGGAGATCTTGCTGCTGTTGCGGTTCCTCGGTTCTGTGATACTACAAAAGGAGACCCCAAAAAACACATGTACAGAAATAAGCAGGTCTTGTCTACACTCCTGCCCCGGGCCTCACGCCATCATCCTGGTTCTGCAGCTGGGCCTCTTCACAGAGGAAGAACAGAGGACTGTTGCTTTGATCAAGGGTCTCTTTGGAGAGGCAGCCATGAAGTACATGACTGTCCTGTTCACCTGCAAAGATGAACTTGG